GTTACATGTGACTAGATTTATAAATCGACAAACTTTTCTTACGGGTTATTTTCAATAGTGAGAATGTAGACATCAAAAGAGTTTCACTCATACAATGTGCAATCTTATGTAAAAAACAAAGAAGCTTCTTATTACGGGTTGCAGCCGTTTGGTCCACATCTTCTGCTGCAGATAGTTGCAGATATGGTCTACCGACTTTAGACATTTTTGCTTCGAAAAAACAAACAGGACCTTAGAGAAAAACAAGAACTGGAAATGTCGAATGTATGTGTGTAACGGGGTTTTTTTTCAATAGTAGGGATCTCCTACGAAAAATAAAAAAGATTTTTTTACAAATGAATCTCCTCTGAAAATTAAAACTATGATTTCTTTATACATAAATCTTGTAAACAATAATTTTAAAATCTTTTTAACTTGTTTTTATCAATTATCTTTTAATAACAACCTAGGTAATCATAATATTATTAAAAGAAATAAAAAAATTGGTTGATATTATTTATAACTTTGTGAAAAAAAATTAATGTATAACTGTTGTGAAAAAATGAAACCGAAAAAAAAGACGTTTGACCTTCGGTATATGGGAAATTGCATGGGTGGGCTCCATTTGGTTTTGAGGCGCTGCCCCTTGGAACCCCGTCCGTTGACTGGTCAGGGAACCACCACCAGGGCTCTACCTCTTGGACCTTCGATTTTTGTATATGTGTATGTATACAATGGTGCACATTGATGTATGTATGTTTATATTATGTATAACTTGGTGAAAAAAAAGTTATCAATGTATAATAATGTTGTGAAAAAATGAAGCGAAAAAACGAAATTTGGTCATTCGAAAATGAAAAATACAAAAAATTCCGTAGGTAATTTGTAGGTAATTGCCTAAAGCTTAACTACAAAGGTTTTTGTATTTTTCATTTTCGAATGTCAAATGTTGTTTTTTTTGCTTCATTTTTTCACAACATTATTATACATTGATTACTTTGTTTTCACCAATTTATACATAATATAAACATATATACATCAATGTGTACCATTGTATACATACACATACACAAAAAATGATTAAACTTAAAATGAGTAATGAGTTTCGATTGTGCACATGCATGTATGTATGCTTATATTATGTATAATTTGGTGAAAACAAAGTAATCAATGTATAATAATGGTGTGAAAAAAATTAAGCGAAAAAAACGAAATTTGACCATTCGAAAATGAAAAATACAAAAAATTTCGTAGGTAATCTGTAGGTAATTACCTACGGAGTTTGAATTCTGTCATGCTTGTATTTGCTTGATGTCTCTGTGACTATTTTGTTATGATATTATATGGTATTGGTAGGGGTGAAATAGACCCGATACCGGTTGAAAGAGACCGAAGGGATTGAAATATACACAGTACCGATTGAAAGAGACCAAAGAGGTTGAAATATACCTAGTACCTAGTATTGGTCAGGGAACCACCACCAGGGCTCTACCTCTTGGACCTTCGATTTTTGTATATGTGTATGTATACAATGGTGCACATTGATGTATGTATGTTTATATTATGTATAACTTGGTGAAAAAAAAGTTATCAATGTATAATAATGTTGTGAAAAAATGAAGCGAAAAAACGAAATTTGGCCATTCGAAAATGAAAAATACAAAAAATTTCGTACGTAATTTGTAGGTAATTGCCTAAAGCTTACCTACAAAGGTTTTTGTATTTTTCATTTTCGAAGGTCAAATGTTGTTTTTTTACCTTCATTTTTTCACAACATTATTATACATTGATTACTTTGTTTTCACCAATTTATACATAATATAAACATATATAGAAGAGAGGATTCGGAAATACCTGTAAAAATTTCGGGATGTTACAAACATTCTATCTACCAGGATACCGACCTAACAGATCATAACAGTATAACAACATGCATAACATGATATCAATCCAATGGGTCGGCATTGGGGCTTTCGACCCGCAAGTACAGTGAGGAAAACTCACCTCGCACTGCCGAATCATACAGACGATTCCTGTCTGCTGGCTGACAGATCCCCGAACCGCCAATATCAAGACAACACCCCACCAATAGTTGATCCCATAAGCAATCTCTAACTGCAGATATGATAAAATCCATGCGCTATCAAATCCACAATGACAACCCATCAACATCCAGCCCTTGACTCTCACTATGAGTTCAAATTAGGGTAAAAGACCTTTTTACCCTTCCACAAGCTTGACCCAAAGCCAAGGTCCCAAACTAGATGACTAAAGGCCCAAAATCCAAAACTAAACATCTAAGGCCCAAATATGGCCTAATTTTCCAAATTGGGCCCAATTCCTTTCGTGGGCCTTCACCCAAGAAGGTCCAACAAGACAAAAAGCCCAAACCATAAAATCCAGATGGCCCAAAATGGCCCAAGACAAACCGAGCCCAAAACAATGAGGCCCAATACTGCCGCGTAAGCGGGGCGTACTCCGGAGGTATGCTCAGCGTACACGAGGCTGCGCAGAATCCACCATCGGGGTGGTTGATTAGGTATGCGGGGCGTACACCTCCCTACGCGAGGCATACCCTCGTAAATCCCATTTTCTTCATAAGTGCTTAATGGCTTTAGCACTTAAGCTCAAACTTCAAATCCAAGGTCCAGAGGCATACTAGGGTCGTAAAGTCTCCAACTTTATGACCTTACACGTCTATAAAGCTCTTAATACGAGGTATTAATCTATTAAGACCCTTCTACCAAAATCATGAGACACTTTTAGCCATTGGGACTTCATTTTTACGACCAAGGACCCCTCCAAGGGTCTGAAAGGACGAATCAAAACATTCAGAACATGCCATGCTCAAGATGGATTATTTAGGAGTAAAAAGAAGCATAAAAAGACCCAACCATGAGATCTATCAAATGAACCATAAAGGTATGAACTTTATACCTTTAGATGATGGAGAAAAGAGCCAAACTTCCAGATCTAATCCTTGCTTCAAGCTTACGCGCTTCTTGATGCACCTTTCCTTCCTCTAAAACACCAAGAACACACTTTAGGGCTCAAAATCACACTCGGGGGGGGGGGTTAGGGTTTTGCAAGAACGGATCTAAGGCTTTGGAGGCAGAAAGGTGGGGATAAATGACCACAAGGATGCTTAATTACTCCTTAAACCCTAAAACTTAGGGGTTTTTTCAGACATAAGTACGCCCAACGTACATATGTGTATGCTCATCGTACTAGGGCACACCCTAGTACGCTTAGCGTACTCACATGTACGCTTAGCATACCACTCCTTCTCCCAAAATTACGATCTTGCCACTAGGGCTTCTTGCGACTACTTCCTTTCAAAACAAGGACCAAAATGGCATACTTTAAAAACCAAGAGATGAATTTGAAAATACCTGAGAACCGGGGTGTTGCAATTAACAAGTTTCTTAATATTCACTTTTTACAAAGTTTATGAAATCAACTAAAACCTACTAGGCTTTGATACCACTGTTGGGTTTTATTAACATCAATATACTATCATCTTAAGGAAGCAAAAAAGATCAAAAGTTTACCTAAGTTTACTTGCACCCTAAATTCTAGGTTTTACTAGTTATGGGAACGAACTTTAAAAACCAACTAGAAAGAACATACTAACCTCCTGATTCTTTACTTGAAATCTTGTAAATACCAGTTATTGTAGTGGATGAAGGATCCAAAGTAGAATCTCTCTAATGTAGTTAGACCCATAAAGTCCAAAGGCAAAAAAGAAGAACCCTATAATAGGGTTTATTCAAAATTCACTAATCATAGGAGGGGGGTTATGAATTTCGTTCCCAAGGTGAGGGAGAGAGATGTGGACGAAATATAAAGCAAAAAGCCAACTCTAGGGTTTGACCCCTAACAGTCTATTTACAGGCTATAGATATAATCTTAGAAGGATTCAAACTCTTCTAGTTAATGCTTATCTGATTCAAACCTGTCATATCCCTATCCAGGGAGCCTATCAAAACTGTCCATATCAGCTCTCTAGGAGCTTTTGAAATATTCCAATTAATCTCTAGGATTTAATTAATATTCAAGCTCTTTAACTAATTAAAACAATTTAATTAATTACTAAAATAATTTCTAATTAATTTATTAATTCCTTAATAAATTAATAATTTATTTTATCCATTTCCTTAATGTTATTTGTGTTATGAGGTCAACCTAAAAGGACCATACTATTATTATAGATATTACCAAAAAAGTTAATAACCTTTGACTTTATTTCGAACACACTTATGTAAGACGAGTTTATTAAGAGGAAGAGTAGGGGATAATATGAAATATGACGTGTTTTAAGATGGTAGAAGGAAGCTTATGCTTCCTTGAAGCTACTTGGTTTTAACCATGTGCTGACAATACTAATAAATCAGTTTTAGACATATCTCCCGACAACTCCATTAACATCCTAAAAACTATTATTTTTATCCACATTCTGGACTCATAAACTTATACATTTGGAATCCTTAAGAATTTGAATTCTCTATAATCATTATGTTGTTCTCACGACTTTCATTTGCTTATAAGCAAAGTTGTTCATTGTAAGATTATCCCTATAATTTGAATTTTGTGATAACCCATGGATAAGGGGTAAAATATCAAATTTGAAAAATGATGTACAAGATCCTACTTGAAATCCAAGATCACTTTCATGATTCCATAAACATGTTCAGCACATACACCAACATGACAATCATCTCATTAATATAGACTAAAGAACTTACCACATACGACTCTCATATCAAATGTTGGCTCAATGGTCGAGTTGCCCATATTTGATGGATTCACATTAATGTGGTTGCAAATGATACCCATATATTAAAATTTATCCAACAAGACTTGAACTCTCGACCTCAAGGAAAGAGGGTGACTCCTGATACCTTTGTGCTAAAAGTCATTTTCTATATATTTAATTAAGTTAATAAAATATGAGCGTTTTCCCTTTAGATATATATTAAAACTTTAGAAGGAAAATGAAAAGAAAAAGGTACGGGTCAATTCGGTCAAATGTATTCACTTGCTACAAAGTATAAAGAAAGACATAATGAAGCAGCATCCGTGTATTCCATTTCTGTTCATCGGTCGTAAATGGCGCCACCAACTCCGAATATTCAAACGTTTGAGACGGAGGATCAAGTCGCCATCGCTCTTGCTGTATACATCCTCCATCTCTCTGCTAAATTCATCGCCGCCAATGGTTCTTTCTCCGTTGTTCTCTCCGGCGGTTCTTTAATCGATACTCTCAGGTAGTTGTAGTAGTAGTGAACAAACTACTCAGATTTACTTGTTCAATACACTTTGATCGATGTTATGTTTTGTATTGATGAATTTGAGCTTAATCTTTGACAGGAAATTAACTGAACCTCCATACGTTGATTCCATAGATTGGTCGAAATGGTCGATATTCTTCCTTGATGAACGAGTTGTTCCTCTGAATCATCCTGATTCAAATTACAAGCTTGCTTATGACGGATTTCTAAGCAAGGTATTTCGTTTTTTACGTGAAGAGGTTTAAAATTCGTTTGTGATATGCTTATAATTTCCAATTCCGATCCATGGTTGAACAATCGGAATCAAGCTCCTGTTCATGCCTTATGATTGGAATTGAAGCAAGTATGAATGAAGAGCTTCATGATTTCGTCACAAAGAAGCGATTTTGATCGCGAATTCCATTTTGAATTTTGAATAATCTATTTCAATTCCATGCGTCAACTTATGATATGAACTTTTCTAACATATTTCAGGTGCCAATTCCTGAATCAAACATCTATCCGATCAAGGAAAGATTATCACCGGAGGAAGCAGCTGATGAATATGAACAGCGCCTCAAAGATCTGGTATCCAACAAGAAACTAAGAACATCAGAAATTACAGGGTTTGCTAAATTCGATCTGATGTTAGTCGGAATGGGTCCAGAGGGGCACGTCGCATCACTCTTCTGCTGGCATTTTCAACGATTTGAGAAGATAAAGTGGGTGACTTTCATCACGGATTCACCCAAACCTCCTTCTAACAGAATCACTTTCACCTTCCCTTTGATCAATTCAGCTTCTGAGATTGCAATGGTGGTGACCGGAGAAGACGCAGCTGATGCAGTGAAGGTGGCGTTGGGCCCACATGCTTCTTATGGTTTTCCGTTGCCTGTGCAGAAGGTTTCACCTGAAGGAGGGTTCACGTGGTTCTTGGATAAGGCTGCTACTTCAGAGCTCTGAATAATGTTTACTTGTACACAAACCTTTCTTTCTATATTTAACATGGCAAGATATTGTTTGCTATAATTTATGTATTGTTTCAACGTTTATAATAAAAGTAAAAGTTTTTAATAGACAAAGTTTTATAATTAATATATAAGTCGCTTTTGTCAAAGACTCAAGAGAACCGATTTTCACGCAACCATTTAGAATGCAAAGAACATAAAGATAAACACATACTAGTACATATATTTCCTTTGTGTTAAAAAATCGACCCATTTTTTCATCCATAAATATTAAAGCTTTAACTACAATTCGACGTAGCTACATTTTTTGTATCCACCAGCTTCACTCGCCTATGGTTGATCCCCAAAAATTCCTTGGTTCTTTAAAGTTAGTTTTAAAAACATTTTATAAGTTTTTCTAAATCGTATTTTCAAACGTAATGAAAAGAGGTTTTAGATCACTCACTCTCAAACACGTATATATAATATAATGATAAGAGAGTCATACCAACAAGATATAAATTGAAGCAAGTGGATATGATAATATTAAGTTTGTTTATGAGTTTTTGCTCTTGAAAAATGTATGCGTCAAGGTATTTTATCCAAAATGACAAAGGGTTGTTGATAGGCTAGATAGATAATTTCCGTAGGCAGTCCATGAGTAGCAACTTTTGGATTTTTTTTCATAAATCTTTTTTTTTTTCGCAAAATAAAAAAGATTTTTTTTCGTCCTTTCAAGACAAATAAATATTTAGAATTATTTCATCAATTGTAAGTCCTTTCTTTTACAAAACTTCTATTATTTATTAAAAAAATCTTTATTTATTAAGGTATGATCGATGCCTAAACAACATTTTTTACAAAGTTTTAATTTTTTAATAAATAACTTTGTCAATTGATATTTTTCTTTTAAGATTACAAATATATTCTATTTGAAAGTAAATATCAACTATAGACACACAAGAACATAAGTTCCAAGTTAGTAAATAATTCATAATCTACTAACATACATTTATAAATAAATTATAAACACCAATAAATAATAATCTATCATGTTTTTTAAGATGACATTTTCCGCATACGTCACCAAATTTGTCAATCAAATTACAAATGAGAAAGACAAATATTTCAAGTATGAAACGGATTTGAGAAAATAATTTCAACTAATGCAAGTTACCAATACGTAATTTATAAATACTTAAATAGTCATGTATATAATACAAATAATTTATGCCATTAAACGCAATTAAAACCAAATAAGATCGTATATGACCATAAAAACACACATGGTGTCAATTACATTCACCATCTATTTTCAGTAAATGCGACATAATAAAAAATTCTCAAGTATTATTACTAAACGAATTCTCGTGCATTACACATAAATTTAATTGCATAAATTTAATTGCATAGATAAAATATTAAGAATTATGCCATTTAAAATAACTTATGGACATTTGGTTTGTAGGTCGTTCTAAATAAAATTTCAACGAGGGAAATTAAATACATCTTGAAGGGATGAATGTTAGGTGTAAGTTTGGTCTCTAGTTTTGTTTTCTATATTGTGAGTAAGGCACCCCGTAACATCATTAGTGTGGTTCATTATGTTCATCGTTAACCCAAAATAAAATATCATATTAAGTATTAACTACTAACGTGACAGACTCGGTTCAATGCATTAAATGATGCGCGACTCTCATCTGTAACATTGCCCCTACTTCACCGCGTTCGATATTCCAACGATGTATGTACAAGTATCATGTGTTTTCATTCGAGAGTAGTACTTATCCATATCTTTACGTCATTAGATACACCCCACTCAAACATGATGCATGTACTGACTTCCTCTAATCGCCAACACCACTATAGTCGTCCCTGCATCAAAGGACCATGTACCAAGATGATCGTCTAGAAAATCACTCGACTTCGCCAATTGCTTAAGCTCTTTCTTATATGTCATCTTTCAACCTATTAGGTTATCATAATATCCGGATATGATATGCACCTAAGTTTAGGTTACTACCCTTACCCCTCTAAGTATGTTTCCCCAATTATTAATTCGATATTATTTTACATACAAAGGGACATTCACATTTCATAATTTTCTCATCACTATGAGGTTGTTTGTTTTTTAAAAAAAACCTCTTCAGACCACTTTTCGTTGTGCGATGCAACACATGCGCAACACTTGCCATCTCGCAACAATTTGTTTTTTGGATGGCTTCAGACTACAAAACCTCTGTGTGTGTTCTGCTCCAAACAACACTTGACTTTCCTCTTCAAACTTCTTCAGCTTTCATTTTTTTCCAAGTGATTTTTTTAGAAATTTTGTATAGACAAAACTGCAAGAATGGTCCCTGTGGTTAGCTAAAAATTACCAGTTTGGTCCAAAAAGGTTTGGACTAGCACCAGAGGTCAAACGTTTTCATTTTGTTGTGAGTTTGGTCCATTTTGTTTTGAATTTTTATAAAATGATGATTTTGCCCTTTATATTTTCATTTTCTATTCTTTTGCTCATTTTACAATTTTCATAGTTAAAAAGAAAACAAAAAAAGAAAATATAATAAAAGCTATACCCCACCGCATGGCACCCCTTCAATCTTTAATCTCTCTTTTATAGTGTTCACTAAAAACCACCGGTGTCACCGCCGAAAACCACCGCCATCGTCGGAGAATCAGAACGCCACCACCACCACAACCTGGAAAATGAGTTTAGAGAGGTGGCGCCACCAACTGCTAGACGCCAGAGAATCAGAACGTCGCCACCAACTGCTAGGCTCTCTCTTCCTCAACATACCCTAGCTCGCCGCCTCCATCTTCCTCATTAAACCCTTTGTTGAAGTTCAGGCGAACAACACCATCTTCACATCACCTTCTCATCTTCACATCACCTTCTCAGGCGAACAGATCTAAATTGTGAACCGACAAATAGATCAACACCACCACCAGATTCCAGTAAATACGATTTTGAAGAGGCGGTGTCGACACATCGATTCTGACGACGATGTACTTCAGTGACGATATGGATGTAACGCCCGGATCTTGAGGTACTTTTTATGCATTTAGATTTATCTGTTTAGGGATTACCATGGCGTGGTGGAGGCATCACCACTACGTGGTGATGCGAAATAAGTCACGTGTTCATTCAGGTCACCACAGCGTGGCAACATTGGCCACGGTGTGGTGGCGGCTAGCATGCAAACCCTATTTTTCCGGGGTTTGCTACCAATTTAAAGGATTGAGGAGGTGAGGGTTTGCTGATGCTCAACCTCCATCAGTTCCCTCAAGCCCCAAAGAAACCCTAATCACTTTCCTCCATTATTGAGCTACTTTTGGTGTTCCTTGAAACTAAAGAATGAAGAAGGAAGCAAGGATCAAGCAAGCAAGTCTCCATTCTTCACTCTAGCACTCTTCTGGACCTTTGTAAGCGTCCAAGACTCGATTTTTATCATGATAGGTTGATAGATCTTGAGTTTTGTCCCATTAAATTCTTGTTATTGTTTGCTGAGAGGATGAGGTCTCATAAAGTTTGCAAATTTATGAATCTATGGGACGGAGTATGTTGTGTCATGGATCTGGAGTTTGGTTGGATTTTCTAGCCATGCATGTGATTTATGTCATAAACCCTCATTTTGACCTAATATATGTTCAAGACATGCATTGGACATGCATGTCTATAAAGCACCAACTTTTAGGGTAGTTTCGATGCTAGAATCACTCCTGTAAAGGATGAATTTCGAACGTTATGGAATAAGTGCTTATTGGTTAAGTTCTTGCATTATTAAGCCTTTTTAGGACCTTTGGGTGGTCCTAATGAATAAAGTTTGAAACTTTATCCTTTAAGATCATATTTTTGTCCAAATCTGAGCTGTAGAGCTCTTGGAATCGAAGGAAACAGCTTAAAGCATTAAGCTATTGGAACCTCGGCAACCACAGTGTGGTCCTAGGTCACCACGACATGGTGGCTGGGATTTTTCCGCCTGTTGGGCCATATGCAGACCACGACGTGGCCAAGGAAGACCATGTCGTGGCGGTCAGTTGAAGTCAACATTGACCGTTGACTTTGACCGTTTGACCTTGAGGGTTGACTTTTGACTTGTGGTTTTATTCACTTGTTAATGTCGTAGTAGAAAGATTAAGGTCCTACCTTGTGCGGTTATCTAGGTAGCGTTAACACCTGTTGCAGGATTTTGAGAGCGTGTTTACTTTTGAGATGCTTTGTGAGGTGACTTTCCTCCACTGTACTCGTGGGTCGAAGGCACCAATGTCGGCCCATTAGATTATGTTAGTAGGATGATAGTTGTCTTCATGACAATTTCATGTTATGTTTGTTTATGCTTGTTGTCTTCATGACTTTCGCTGACATGATTGTATGCTTAGATGTAAGGGTGAAATAGAGCCAGTACGGGTTGAAAGATACTGAAGGGGGCGAAATGGACCCAGTACTGGTTGAAAGATACCAAAGGGGGTGAAATGGACCCAGTTATGCTTTGACTGTTATGTATGTATGGTAAGGGGTATTTTGGGTAAGCTCACTAAGCTTTGTGCTTACGGTTTTCAGTTTGTGTTTCAGGTACTTCCATCTCGAAAAGGGAATGGTCCAACTTGACCGCACCACATCCACCCACATTTTCCGCATTATGTGATTTTGGGATTTGTACTATGATATTATTTCACTATGATACACTTTTGATTGTCTTGACATGATTACTGGATGTTGTGAAATGAATTAAAAATGGATTTTTTTCTGAAAATTTTGGAATGTTACAATGGATGTCGGCTTCGTCTCTCTCCTTCGATTTTGACGACGATCTCGATGAGGTTAGGAGTGGCGTTTTAATTTTTCAACGACCCTAAACCTAGCTTCGTCGATCTTGCACCCATCCAGATACAATAACTTCTCCTTTAATTTTGACAACAATCTCGTAGATAACCCTAAACCTAACTTCGTTTCTGTATCTTGTAGCTCATGGCCATCGTTATAGAAGAAAGAGATGAAGCTCGAGGTTTCCATAGACACAAAAAAAACCCTAAGGTTACCACCATTTTCATATATGGAAAGATGAAGCTCTTGGTCGTCGGAGCCATAGCAAACC